AGCGCGGCAAGTGGGCAAGCAGCTGGGCCGCAACCGCATCGTGTGCCGCGTGGTGGAGATCAAGCGGCCCTTTGGCGTGACCATGTACCGGCTGCGGAGCGGAGCTGGAGTGGTGGAGGGTATGCATCAGGCCAGCAGGCTATCTAAGGCGCCACCCAGCCTGGCCAGCGAGCTGACCTTCAGCGGCACGGCGCAGCGAGGAGTGCCTGTGGTGTCTCTCAATGTGGCGATGGCGGCGCAGCCCGGCGGCGGCAAGGCAGCCGTGCGCTGCGGCTGCCGCGGCGCCTGCACCCGGAACTGCAGCTGCAAGAAGAATGGTGCGCGGTGTGGGCGGCACTGTGGCTGTATAACCGGTAAGGGTGGCAATTGCAAGAACCATTGAAAAAGTGTGCCTTGTACGCTTTGCCGTCTCCGCTGGAAGGTGCTGCCGCCTGTGGCGGCTTCATATTTCCTGTTCATTTCTGTTGTTCGGTCTCTCTGTTCGTGTTGGTTGGCTTGTAAGAGTTGTATTTCTGACGCTAGAGAGGTGAGATGACAGCGGGAGCGTTGAAGCGTGCATGCCATCACGTGTGCAAGCAGCCCCGCTCCGCCCCGCTCAACCCTCAAACAGGGCTATATGGGGTCAGTTCACGTATGGGAGGGGAGCGCCGCGCGGGCTGCCAGGAGGGAGCGGGGGCGGGGGTTGCCCAATCGGGAGGGTGCCACATCAGGGGGCAACACATGGCCACCGCGCTGGGGTCTGCGTGCCCCGCTGCCGCCACCACTTTCCATGCGGCCGATTCGACGCCTACTTTGCTCCCGATCGGCTCATCGACTGGCGCTCACTCCTACCTCCGTATGTGGGAGCTCCAGCGCTGCTTCTTGTTCAGAGATGGGCGGATGCCACAAGCCCACCAACCTGCTGCTGGCCCTTCTTTGCTGCTGCTATCACCTGTGCACCGTGCGATGGGCTGAAGGGGCTGATACCGACGCCTTGCTGTTGACCGAGGACCTGAAAGCCGACACCATTTTGCAGGTGAGTGAACGCCGGCCCGCCCAGAACCCGACACACGAATCTCTGCATTGCCGCAAGCCGATCCCTGTGCGCCACGGCACGCTTGCAGCACCACGGCTTTGCCGGCGACCTGCGCTCGGCGGCGGCGGCAGCGGCGGCGGCACGAGGCGAGGCCCTGGCGCGGCGTGCCTCTCCCGTGCTCGCCTACGTCACTCCCTGGCACGGCCGGGGATACGACTTGGCCAAGGCCCACCGGTGCAAGTGGGTGGCAGCTTTGCTGGACTCTGGTTGGGACCGTGATCACGCAGGCTCCTTGCCTGCCATGCACACCGCTCGCTGCTTACCGGCCACGTTTGCCCAAGCAGTGCCTCCTTGATTCTGGCGCAGGCTGGACTACGTCGTTCCCGTCTGGTACCAGCTGCGCAGCGCCGGCGGCATGCTGCAGCTGACGGGCGGACACGACGTGGATGCCGGCTGGGTGGCGGCGGTGCGCCAGCCCTGCGGCGATGGCAGCCAGGTGAAGATTGTTGTCGGGTCAGCAGCTGGCAGGAGCGTCCGGCCGTGCTGGGGCAGCTACTAGCTGCCTCCATACCTGCTCACCAACTGTTCGTACAGTGATTCGGTATGCCTGAAGTGCCGACGCTGCATCCTGGCCAATGCCTCCGGCTCTGTCCCTGCGTGTGCCTCTGGGCCATAGGCCCATGCCGCCAGGGTGCTGCCCCGTGTCATGTCCGAGGTGGCCGGCCGGGACGTGGTGGAGGCGCTGCGGCAGCCGCAGGCGGTGACGGGCATGCTGGCGCGGGAGGCGGAGCGCCATGGCTTTGACGGCTGGGTGGGTGGTCGCCTCTGCACGCCCACCTCCACGCCATGTGCTGTGCTGCGTGTGCGTGGCAGGCTCCTGCCTAGGCCTGGCTTGCCGCCTGGCAGGTCCCGCAGGGGAGCCAAGCGCCGCCGCCGCGCCGGCCGCTCGCCGGGCTGCAACCCAATGGCCTGCGCGGCGCTCGCCGCTGTCGTGCAGGTGCTTGAGGGGTGGTCGCATTGGGCAGCCATGGGCGTGACGCAGCACCCCGAGCTGCGGCAGGCCGCGCTGGGCCTGCTGCGCCAGGTGGCGGCCGCGCTGGCGCCAGGCGGGCGCCGCCTTGTGCTGGCCGTGGCGCCGCTGGTCCCCGCGCCGGGCCGCCCTCCGCAGCTGGCCGCCAGGGATGTTGAGGAGCTGCTGCCGCTGGTGGATGCCCTGTCAGGCAAGCCTGCTTGATGGCCCTGCTTGCTGGGGTATCAGAACGGCTGCCTGCCTGCACTGGCCTGTGGCTGTGGGTCCCTGATGCCGGCAGGGCGGGGCTGGCGGCGTGCCACAGCTGCCTGTTGTGCCCATGCCGAGGCCCCAACACCTTCCCTCCCTCCCTCCCTCCCTCCCTCCCTCCCTGCCTCCTCCTGCTCCTCTCCTGCAGTGATGACTTACGACCACTCCAGCCCCCAGCAGCCAGGCCCCAACGCGCCGCTGCCCTGGGTGCTGCAGAACGCAGACGCGTTTGCTGAGGTGGCAGACAGGTGGGCAGGGGGTCGGGGGGTGGGGGCTCTGAAGGGGTGCCCTGGCCCCTGCACTCCCTCTCCTGCCTGTGGACATGTTCAGCCTCTGTCCTGCAGCAGCTGCCCCATGCTCGCAGCGCATCAGCTGGCACGCCGCCTGGACTGCTCCCGCCGCCGACGACGCCCGCCTGCAGGCTGCCCGGCCAGCCGCGGCACAAGGTGCTGCTGGGCCTCAACTTTTACGGCTACGAGTATGTGTACGGCAGCGGCAAGCAGGTGGGGCAGGTGCAGGGCCGGCCAAGGCTAAAAGTAAAGACTGCCAGCAGCTGATGCTGTACAAAAAGTATCCAGGAGGGCGGGCCTCCCCACCCGCGGCACCTGCACCCTGCAGGCTTCCTCACCCCATGCATCTGCCCAACAGCATTTCGAGCCCGTGCCCTTCCTTGGAGCAGGTGCAGAGCGCCGAGGCTGCGCTGGCGGGGCGGCTGCTGGAGGTGCCGCGCCGCCATCAGCTGGAGCAGCAGGCGGATGCCGGCTTGCAGGGGGCAGCCAGTGCCAGCAGCAGCGGCGACGCCGAGGGGGCGTGCGGCGGCGGGGAGGAGGGCCGGGATGGCAGCCGCACCTGCGCAGCAGCATCTGGCGGCGGCAATGCTGGGGCGGGCAGGCTGCGCATGCAGTGGCTGGATGAGTCGAGGGAGCACCTGTTCCGGTGGCGAGAGCCCCGGGATGGCGGCAGCGGCGGCCAGCAGAAGGCAGAGAAGAAGAAGCGGGGCAAGGGGCGGCAGCATTTGCTGTACTTCCCCACACCGGCGGCGCTGGCCGAGCGGCTGGCGGCGGCCGCGGGGCGCGGCATGGGGGCGGCGGTGTGGGAGCTGGGGCAGGGTCTGGAGGCCTTCTGTACCCTGCTCTGAGGTGTGCACACCGCTGGCATGCGAGGCCCCAGTCCCAGCAAGCACCTCTACGCTTACACTGTGATGGTGTGCTCATGCAATCACGAAAGGCCACCTCGGCACTGAAACCCCGCAGCCGATTACATCCAGTCCTAGCCCCGCTCTGCACCCCGCTCCTCTGCGCCCGCTGCCTTGTCCTGCGGCTGCGCCTCCTGCTGCTGCGCCTCCTGTGGCTGCTGCTGCTGCTGCTGCTGCGCCTGTGGGGCCAGCGGCTGCGGCACCGAGTAGAAGACGGAGGTCTGCCCGCGCGGCTGCAGCAGGGGGCCGCCGTTGCCGGGGTCACCGAAAAGAAAGTAGCGCCAGCCCATCCACGGCAGCATGCCGCCGCACTCCTGCAAAGAAACGTAAGGAGGTGGTGGGCGGGTCGCTGAGGGGAGACAGCTGGAGGAGTTGTGCAGGAAAGGAGGCCCTCCTCGCTTGCTGCCTGTATTCACATACACCCACTAACCGACCGACCCCTGGGCAGCAGCAGGCAGCAGCAGTGGGCACTCACCGCGCACTTGCGCAGGTAGCGGCCGCGCTGCACCAGGCCTCGGCCTCGGCAGGCGGGGCAGCGCCGCTGGATGAGCTGCGCGGGGGGGGGGGGGGGGGGGGGGGGGGGGGGCC